GTCTCTAACCAAAACAGCTCTGAAAGGATGTTTTCCTTGAGGATACATCATAGCTGGGTCAACATGCTCTGAGCTCTTTGGGCTGTAGTGGACTACATAGGGCTCGGTCACACTTGTCCATCCAATTCGACCTTCAGCTACGAGGTTCCTAAGCGTTTCACAGAGATAGATTGGCGTAGGGACTCCTGTTGTTTGGGATGTTGAGACTGTCCTGACAAAAGCTTTAGCGGTGAGGGAATTGTTGTTGTACGCTACTGCTATGGAAGTGTTTCCTTCAGCCAAGAAAGTTCCTGTCTCACTACCGTTCCGAAATTCCCAACCTTTCTTCAACAATTTTCCTACAGCTAAGAGAGGGTGAACAACTGATGAAATCAAGAAGACTTCCTCAACCTTCACACAGTTTCCACCAACATCCTCAAACTCAACCTCAATAACCCGCTGGTCCTGTACTTTTATCCTAGTTCCTTGAGCGTCTCGGAGTTCAATCCTGCGTCGGTCCGGGACCTTCCTACCGAAATTTCGCATCCACATAGGGGCTAATGAGATATCTGCGCCTGAGTCAAGCACAACCTCAATTTCCTTTGCACCTGGGCTCTCTCTCACTGTCCTAACAAAGTTCTCTGGTTCTGAGGTGTACCAACAGTACAAGGGGTCCTTCTCTATGTCTTCACTCTCTTCATCACTCTCACTTCCAATCTGAAATTCCTGCTCTGACTTTCCTGAACTAGCCGAAACCATCAAAACTCTCCCGAAGTAATCAATTTCAAGTTCCTCAGAGTCTTCGCTCAGCTCGAACTCCTCAGGAAAGCTGGTCGGTGGATCACCGATGTGGTGCATTGTTACCATCCTGATGATCGGCTTCTGGGTTCCTTGACCTGATGAACTGGCTGATGTTGTCGCTGTTCTCGATGTTGGAGCTTGGGTTGAGGCTGTTCCTCTACTTGGGGCTTCACTCTGAGTTTCCTGCATTTCTACATTCCTAGCCGTGTACCCCATGTCTCTCTGTTTCTTCCTACACTGGGCCTCAAAGTGTCCATACTTCTGGCAGTAATGGCAAACTCCTGTAGCTGCTTGGGCCTTTCCTTTGCCTTTACCTTTGTAGCTACCTTTGAACCCTTTGTAGCCTTTTCCTCTGCCTTTGAAACCTCTAAAGCCTCTACCTCGGCCTTTCCAGTTTCCACCTCTGCCTTTGCCTCTACCTTTTCCTTTGCCTCGACCTTTGAAACCACCTTTGCCTGAATCCTTGCCTGAATCCTTACCACCTTTCTTTCCTTTACCTTTGTACCCGTACCAATCTCTACCTTTGCCTTTCCAAGCCTGAGACACATCCATGGCTGCAACACCCTGATGATCTTCTCCCTTGTCGATTAGGTCAGTAGTGGTCCTATAGGGTGTTCCTTGGGACTGCGTAAGCGAATTGGTCCACTTCTCAGTTGACTCATAGTTCACAAGATACTGCCTAAGTGCCGGGTACTTCGTCTTCTCATCTAGGTTGAGCAACAAATGTCTCTTTACTTCAGGCTTCATTCCTTGAATCAATGTACTAACCTTCAAGTTTTCCTGCACCTTTTCTCCAGTGGACTTCTCGTACTGCTCAATGCGTTCCTCATATTCGAGGATGTTCTCTGCAATGCCTTTGTCCTTGGCAAAACGGAAATTCATGATGTTGTGGAAAAGTTCCAGCGATCTTGCTCTATTCACAGGCTGGTATTCTAACAACAGCATCCTATAGGCTTCCATACCGTTCTCTTCTGTCGTATGGCGAACCACACGATACGGTCTGCCTTTGGTGTAAGACGCTAAAATGCTGTACAACTTCCTGCTTTGCGTTTTGGCCTCATCAGTCATATCTTTCATGTCCAGCACTTCATTCTTCCTTAGGTCGTTCTCCACGAGGTCCATGGTTTCCACAAGATCTTCATCCATAGCGCCAAGCCAAACTCGAAGTCGTTGCTTGAACTCCATGAAACCATTCTTTTCTTCTTGCCAAGTTCCTGGAGAAAATACTTCTGGAGGCTTGATGAGTTTGTGAAGCTCAACGTCACCTGGCTTTCTTCCTTTCACTGCTCTCTCTAGGCTGCTTCCGATCTCCTCGAAAGTTGTCACTGCTGTTTCCTGCGCTTGAAGCAAAGTGTGCTGTGCCTCTGCACTCTGCTGCTGAATTGCCTGCAGTGTATTGCTGAAGCTTGCTGTGATGCTTTGCTCTCGGGCTGTGCCGGCTGCTGCACTGCTCCTCATCTCTTCTGCTAAGGTTTGTATTCCTTGAAGCGTTTGCTGGTTGATTTCTGCAAGTCTCTGTAGTGCATCTTCCATTCCTTTGGCTGCTTCCAAGTTGCTGTACACAAGCACAACAAGAAACATTGTCTTGTGCTGTCTCCTCACTTCTGCTCTTCTTCTCATGCTTTTCCTTTTGGGCTCTTTCGCTCTCTTCGTTCTTTTCTGTACTGCTGTAAAGAACAATCGTGAGAAGTACGATAGGATGATCCAAGTAATCATTCCTAGAGGTGTTCCTACGAAAACTACGAGATGAATTCCTTCAAACACTAAGCTGTGCACGACGTCGTGAAACTTCTTTTCTAGCTGTTCGAACTGTTCCTTGAAAGGGATCTTTTCTACATTGTGAAACTTTCCTTCTACTAGGCGCCTAGGAGCGTAGCCGGACTCAAGGCTCTCATTTTCTTCACTCATGTACATGTCGATGCTCCTAATCGTGTAGGCATTCATGAAGTCCTGGTTCACGGAGTACTTGTCGTAGTTCTTCTGAGAATGCGTATTGGGCTTTCCTGGGAGTGCTCGTCCACACAACCATCAACTCACTCTCGTCAATCTCGGCAATCACCTTTCTCCCACGTCTTTCTTCCTTGGAGGATCTGTCATCTCCAAGGGCAAGTTCATCCTTGGCTCTTCCGGGTCCAAGGGCCTGCCACGGATTCTCTTCGAAGCCATATCTTCCTGGAGTCATGCTCATCCCGCACAAAGTGGCGAGGCTCCCCAGGGCAAAACCAACCAGCAGCACTATGCCTGCTGCCATTCCGTAGCATCTCATGTTCCTCGTCTTCACTTCCTGAATCGTGTATCGTTCAGGGAAGCAATTGAAGCAAGGGGCAAAGTCCCTCACTCTTCCACCAGCAACCGTCAGGTTCCTGATGTGACCACAACCTGGTTTGTGGTACCTTCTTCCTGCTCTTGTTGCTATCCGGACTGTGGGGAGGTACTCGAAGAACTCTCGGACTTCGACGTTCTTTTCCTGTTTCCACATTTGTATCATCCCACAGACGAGAGAAGCCATCATGGCTATGAGGACGATTCCTACTCCTGCTATGTGTAGCATCATCGCTGCCTCTGGTTCCTGGAACGGCAGCTCCGCTACCATGTCAAAGATAGGGTCAATCTAAAGCTAACTGAAAAGCTGGGACACTCCGCACTTTTCCTGGGTTCGCTGCGGTGTGTGTCCTTGTTCGAGCCTGTCGTCGACAAAACGTTCCGAGGCTCTGGTGTGCATTCCACATGCACCTGGTGCACAGCTTCCTGTACTGCGTAGATGTTTAACACAATCTTGCTTGCTGCGATGGACAGTTCCTCTTCCGCATTGCCTGATTCATGGGCTGCAAGAGGTGCAAACATGGACACTCAAAACTTCAATCTTTGTCATTGCCCTACTGCCATCAGCTCAGACAGCACGAGCTAGATTCTGCTTGATGTCAGCACTTCTGACCATGACCCTCATGTCTCACCGCGAACTTGCGGAACGACCCGTTGCGCGTTGTCTTTGGAAATGCGTCAGACATCGCAGCCCTTGACAAGAATGCCATGGCTCGAGCCTTCAAATGGACGAGGGATGATGATGCTGCAAGGCTTTCATTCTTAGGCTTTCCGCTCTTCAAAATGAAAACTTCTCCTTCTCACGTGCAATCTGTATCTTGAAATCGGGCGGGCGCGGCGGGAGGCGTGCGCACGCTGAAGAGATACTCGATGGCTGCGGAGTGGACACTCCAGAATGGGCATCAAACTGGCTCATTTAAAACGCCAACACACCCCACTCCCGCAGCTTCCCCGAATTGCACAGCTCCGAGTGCGCTTCCCGAGTGGCTTTCCCAAGTGGTTTTGCAGCTCCGAGCGATTGCAACTTACAAGCCTTTTCCGAGTCTCGAGTGCTTGCACAGCTTCAACCAAGAGCCATAACGATGGTGTCAAGCCGCAATGCCAATCTTGTCGAACTCGTGATTTGCAAATCCCTCGGCATTAGTGGGGCCCTTGATCGCTGACGCTGCGCCCGCTACTCTTTTGGTAGCTCCTGTACGCTTGCACGGAAAGCGCAAAAACACGACAAGGATCCAGAGTGTTTAATGCATCAGCTGGACAAGCAGGCTCAACCTAGAACATGCCTGCGACCTCCGTGGTGCGCAGTGAGACGCTGATCAGCGCTAAGGGTCAGAACGTTGAGTGGTGTCAAACTGCAGTGCCAATCTTGTCGAAGTGTGTGGCAGCAATCCGGCCCTTGATCGCTGACGCTGCACCCGCTACTCTTTCGGTAGCGACTTCTCTACCCCTGCATTCTAGCGGAACGGCTCGAAAGCAAAAAACAGGATCCAGACTGTTTACATCGTCAGCTGGACACTCAGAAGCTTAACGTAGAAAATGTGCGTTCGCCTCCGTCCGCTGTGGTGCAGAGTGAGACACTGATCAGCGCGCTATGTGGCGCAAGCACCTCCCTCATCGCTGACACTGCACACGCTGCCGTCTCGGTAGCAGGCTTGATCTAAGCGTGGTGTGGCCCGGAAGCAGCGAAATCTTTACTGCATTCATCTAGTTCACTACTGCAGTGACCTGGCTCGCTACTGCTGCTGATCTAAGCACACCACTTGCAGCAAAAATGACCACACCGAAGATTTTCATGACACGTGAAACTCAGAGACCGCGCAAAAGGATGGGCAGAGTTAGATGGCTCCTGCACAGCACTGATGCTCCGATTTCCTTCACAAATCACATCGCCCGGCCTTTCAAGTCATGCGTCGCGGCAAAAAGCCGTAGCAATCTTGCCTCGCAGTGATGCCGTCACGTGGAAGCCACATGGCCGATCACGAAGCCGAGGGTTGGGCTCGCTGGTGTTCTGGCGCAGGACTGTTGATGCATTTTGGACGCGCCACGCTCCAGCCTGCCAGCATCGGAGGCTAGGGATGGAGCCAACAAAACAGCAGTCTGGGGCTCCGTGCTTCTTGTGAGTAGATGTCGATATTCCTTGCAGCAATGTCCCGGAGATCGGGATTCGTCTGCTTGATGGCCTCGTGACTTGGGCAAAAGTCGGGACCTGAGCAAAAGAAGCATGCCGAGGCCGGGTCTTTCTTCAAGTCGTCCACATCATTGAGGCGGTGGTAGTCCTGCCGAAATGGGACCAAACTCCACTTCACATGGCGTGGCATCCGATGGCCTGAGGGGACTCCACCTTGAACGCCGGCTCGAGCTCATCCTCGCCCTCAGGGTCCTCCTGACGAGACGTTATCTGGGGAGGTGCTTCTCCAAAACGACCGTCAAATGGGGATCCTCCTTGGGCCTCAGCTTTTCCGTGACCGTCCGATCCTGCAAGTCGGGTCAAAACTTCGGCAGACATGAACCGACAGCAAACTGCAACTCCAGCAAGGAACAGCCAAAACTCCCAGCCCCGAACCGCCTCCCGAAGCCCCTCCCCTGCCCGCGAACGGACGTGTGCCCCCAAACTCTGCCCCCTGCCTACGATGGTGCGCCGGGCGAGCGTCCAAACAGCCGTGCCCCAACCCAGGATTCAGCCACTGAATGCTACTGACGCAGTCGACGATTCCTTGCACTCCAAGTACTGGCACTTGCTCTCACACAGCAGAGTCCTTGCGGATCAGCTCCCGCACCCAGACGACGGATAACTTTGAGGTCGTGCCAAAGCCTTGCCAAAAATGCAAGGTCGAATCATCCTAGTCAAGTCCTTACAACGGCTCAGCGCCAAATGACGTCACACTTGGCCACCGGCCTGCTTGCAATTGACGCCGTTGACTTTGTGGTGCAGGTTTCAGACCACTTGATGCGAAGAGCTTGGTATCCCTCGGTCGCCACCGTCCCAGGTCATCAGGAATTTCAGACTCCGCGAGGATCAAGTCTGGCTGTTTAGCCGTTTGCAAACCTGCAATCAGCTTTTGCACCTCGTTCTTGTTCCATCGGTATGCCCCGAATGCTTCATCTTGTTGCGGCGCGATGCGAGTAGTGGCGCCGTTCATGTCTCTGACTGACTCTGCGGCCTCTCGAGTTTGCATGGTGAAGATTATCTGGTGTTGGTGCTCGCAGGCCGCGCGCGCAAGTGACTTCAAATTGTCTTGAACCGCGTCGTTGGGAACGCCGCTGTCTAGGACATTGTCGAATAACACGTGCAACTCGATGTCCTCGCGTCGCAAGGCCCTAAAGAACGGGTCCGCAATGTCATCCGTGAGGCTTTCGTCAGCGATGCGAAGGAAGGCTCGCAGCCTCTGGTTCAGATTGCCCTGCAACAGGACGAAGGCATCATTTACCCGACCCCTTGCCACGGCAGTGATTGCCAGTGTCGCTGCAACTGACTTGCCCGTGCCAGATTCAGCATAAACCGCTGACATGCCTGGTGTGCTGTTTAGCAACGTCGCGACCATCAACTGCTCGATGTAGGTCTTCCTGACCGGCTCTTCGGGCATGTTGCTGCTCTGGGTGCTTGATATGATTGTGTTGTTCTGCGCTTCCAGCTTCTGCTTCATTGACTGTATGAGTTGTGACACATGATTGGTGACGTCACCAGTGCCATCATAAACGCCTAGTTTTATCCATTCAGACCATACTTTCCCCGCGCTGTCGAAACTGGTGACAAAGTTCGCAACTGTCTGAGCCTGTATCAGAGCAGCCGACACTGCTCGGACCGACGGGTCCCGAAATGCTTCTGCTGCCTGTGCAACCCAGCCAGGTGGAAGAGCACGCTGGGGAAGCCAATTCTTGGCACGATTGGGTGTGCTGAAGCTAATGGGGCATCCGACGTGTTGCAGCCACAAGGAAATCACCACCCACAGCACGGATCTTTTGCGCACTCTTCCCATTGCTTCAGCCACTCGAAGCCACCGGGGCAATGCGAAGGGAGCAACTTGCAGGCAAATTATGCTTGTACATCAACCCAAGTTCGTGAAACATGCTTGTATAGACATCTACCGAAAGTTCGTTAAACATGCGGAGCAACTTGCAGCCAAATTATGTTTGTACATCAATCCAAGTTCGTAAAACATGCTTGTATAGACATCTACAGAAGTTCGTTAAACATGCTTCTCTACTTTTGGGCATGTTGCGTGCGCCTGCATACGCTTGGTGTGCAACTTGTTCGCAAAAACAGGCTGCTGAAGCCAACCACGCAACATCGGTGGCGAGTCATGGCATGCAGGCAAGCACTGTTCCGCACCAACGATTTCACAGGTCGCTAACTTTGTGGAATTATGTGGCATCAGCGCCCCTTTCATTGCTGAGGCTGCACCCTGCTACGCCTGAAAGTAAAAACTGTTCACCATCTGCTGCCCGCATGACCACATCGAAGAATTGCCCCGTGCATGTCGCAAAGCTTGCCGAGTGAAACCCAGAGCCCGCACAACTCACATCGCCGAAGCGCCTTCAAGGCCTTTATTTCGTGCCGCAAACCTGCACTCGCGAACTGCGCAGAGGTGCAGGGAGCGGAGCCCCAGAACCACTCCGTAAATGCTCGAAAACCGCCCCGAACTGACTATGCCTTGACCGGGGGCCGATGACTGCCGGCCACCCCCGTCAAACCTGGTAGACCCAAAAACCCCGCCTAAGACTGGGCGGGCGCAGCGACGACGCACTCGGACGCTCGATGGCGGACTCGGCTCGGACTATGAGCTCCACGGACGACGCTCGGCTCGGACGACGCGGCGACGACGGTGACGGCGGCGGCGACAGTAAGTTTGAAGGCACGGCCCTGGGTGCTGCGGGGTTAAGGCGGCAACATTCGCGGGGCAGCTGTGGATCAAACCCACTGCGGGAACGAAAGGGGGGGTTAGGGTGCCCTGAGCCAAAAACACACCCAAAAATAAAAATAATGCATTCAAGCCAAATGTTGCTGCGAAAATCCGCGAGCCTAACGAGACTCTGCTACAAAGCAAAAAAAATAACATCACCGAGGAAAAAATCCATGCACATGCCCCCGCTCCAAGCCAAACCTCCTTGCGCCCCGACACCAAAACAAAGAGGCGAGACAGGCGAGGCATTGAGACAAACTCCCTTCCATCAGCCCGGGGCCCCCAGACAGACGAGAGAGACAAGCAAGACAATCCTTCTACCAGCCCGGCCCTCCAGAAAGACGAGAGAGACAACGAGACAAAGTGTCTCAGTCTCGCTTGTCTCACCAGGATCTGTCTCAGGCCCATGACCCCAATCGTGCTCATCCTAAACCTGCACGGATCCGGTGGACAACAGCCACAAGTCCGCGCCCCATGGACACTGAACACCCCAAACCACGAAATCTTGACCTCGCGCGGCCCTTCTCGGGCCTGGCGGGAAAACATAGGCAGGACGAGCTCCGAAAAGGCTGTGTTCGACCCATCCCAAACCCTTCCCGACCACGTTCCAGGGGCTGGCTGGCACCGACTCGACGAAATCGTGCTCAAAGTCTAGGCCACTCCGAAACTGTGAAAAGCAGAGCTAGCGCAGCTGTCTCTTTTTCACTCCGCACTTGAGCCAAACACCAAAGTGTTCGGCAAGCTTCAGTTCTTGCAGCAGGCTCTCTCCAAGAGCTAAGGGCTCCAAAAAGCTACGAATTCCATCTCAACTTTGTTCTACAAAGCAGGTACCGCAAAAGAACAATGCAAAAGCTTTGGCAGCTTTGGTCTACACCTCGGGGACTTCAGGTCACTTCCGAACAGCAAAACAGCGAAGCTTCAGAGTTCACTCTGCACTCCTACAGGCATCCTACACGTCCTAACGCAACGAACGAAGTGGTGGGGACACGGAGTGAGTTGCAAACAAGCACCTCAAAGTTCTGACACGCACTTCTTCAGCACTGCCTAACTGCAGTTCCAAGTGCCTCCAAAACTCATCCTTGGTCATGTCCAAGGTTCCAAACCGGCCGGCTGCTGGGAGCCGGCGCACTGTCGCCGGCGGGCCCAAAATCTAAAAAAATGGGGCTGCGCCATGAAGGGTTGGGTGCGAAATGCCGGCAATGTCAAATTTACTGCGTCCGCAAAATTAAGCATGCGGGTCCCTTCATACTTTGAAAATGAAAATGTTTTGAACTCTCAAAGACGCCTGCAGATGCAACTCGATCTCAAAGTGAAACATGTGAGTGCATGAAATACTGCAAAGCAAATCACATGATAAAATGGGGACTTTCGATACGGCAAAATGTTCAACACCCCGCCTCGATGCTGCATTGAGCTGGCGGAATGCTTGCTTCGTCTACTTCACATTTGCCGATGTCCCACAAGAAGCAACAACATACTTAGTTCAGGATTGCACTCGAAAAGTCTTGGCGTCTTCTAAGCTCTGCCTCGAAGGTCTTTGGCTTAGCTTCCACTACGCAGCACTGTACAGCTACGGCCTATGCAGAATCTCTTCCCACCGGCTGGTGAGGACAGAGATGTAGATGCTTGTATGGCCCAAGCGCAAGCACACAAGGTCTTTTCAAGATCTCGTCAGAGATTGTGATGGCCTAATTACCATCAGGGCACGATTGCCCTCTGCGGGTTCAGGGTGCTCCACACCCATCACAGTCGATGTCGGTCGTAAAGGATTGACACCAAATTGGTGTGGCAAGTTGTGGTGACGTTACAGAACACAAGGACTGGCAAGTGAAGTTTCATGAGCATCACAAGCTATGTACACGAAGCTATATATATGCGACCACTGCGCAGCATCATGAACATTTCCAAGTGGAAACTGCATTGTCTCATCCCCCACATTCCTTGCATGGCTTGAAACCTCGTCTGATGGCCTCACGCCTGCTGTACCTCAATACTCGCTTTGCACACTTCAGTTTAGGACATTCCCGCACACTGTGGAACGCATATCCACGGCTCGCGGTCACGAACACGATGCGATGCCCTTGCGGGTCCCTGACTGACATGTGGTCTGGTGTTTGTGGTGGTGCATCGCACTGCTCAAGGATCGGCAAAGCATTCTCACGCAACCAAGCATTAAGATTTGCCTCAACCTCACTCCAAGATGTGCTCGCACTCGGCTGCGTAGCGCCCGGCACTGCAGTTGACGGTGCAGCTGTCGGGTCTGGTTCATCATCGCTTGTGTCTCCTTCGGTGGCTTGCTGCTGCAAGTTAAGGTTAGGGTCTGTCTTAGGGATCTCGGCGGGTTCGGGACCTATCCTATCCCCAGGAACCGAAACCCCACCAACCTTTATGTGCACGCTCACCGTGGGTGCACTTGCTGCTCCTGCCTCAGCAGTCTCACGAAGTTGCGACGCTCTGCTCCGTCGGCAGCAGAAGCAGATGCATAGCATCACAAGGATTGTGCTTTGTGCAAGCATCAGGCTCGCCTGTGGGTGATTAACCATGAAGTCATGGATCAAGAAAATCGCATGTAGCACTCTTTCAAGAAAACTCCACAGCATGCTCTCGTAGCCACCATCAGCCTCATCGCTAGTGTTCTGGCCCAAGGCGTCAGCACTGGTATTGGGCTCATCTGTGTTGACACCGGCGATGTTGTCAAGCTGAAGGATTAACGCAAGAACCTGAAGAACTTGTTGCACGTTAACTGATCCCTTCTTGACTACTCTGCAAATCTTCCGTCACGATTCGTGATCAAGCAGCTCAGATTCACTGACCACCTGGAACCCATTGTCCTTGCAGCGCACGTTCAGCCTTCCAAGCAGGAACTCAATCCTCTCAGGCTTAAGTGCTTTCGTCGGCAAATCCGACACGTTGTCTCCCGTGCCCACGGGAATCACCTCAAGGAGTTTCTCCTGAGTCTTTTGCTGCAGCCACAGCAACTTCCCGTCTATGTGCCGCGTTCGTCCTACCCCCTGACGATTGCCGAGGGATCTGGCGGCAGCATTGTCGCATAGGCACGACAACTTCACATCAAGGTCTGGGCACACGTGGCATATGCAGTTTTGCAACAGGATGGCTGTGGCGCTGCCTGCAACAAGCGAGTTATACTCGGCTTCACACGATGACAGACTTATAACCTTTTGCGTGTGAGAGCTTGAATACAGCAGTTGGCCATCCCATACCACGCAACAAGCGGACACGCTGCGGCGTGTGCGTTTGTCTCCGCTCCAGTCGCTGTCTGAGAACATTTCGAGCACTGAGGTTTTGTGCTCAGACACACGGTTGCACACCAGCCCCTTTCCCAAGGTTGGCTTTGAAAGCCCGATCACATGTGACCGATGGGAACTCACATAGCTCGTGAGGTGCCTGAGCAGTTTCCAGCACCCTTGCGTAGGCTTGTGTGCACGGGTCGCGAGATACCGGATGCCGAACTGAGATGCCAGCAAATCAACGCTCAGATACATGAGTATCCCCAAGGCAGATCTGTAGCGCGTCGCCGTCTCCGGATCAAGCTCTGGGTCTGGCTCAGAATCGGTTGGCAATCCCCCAGTTGGGAACGGTGCTGCCTTGGACCTCGCCTTCGCACCTGCTAAACCCGTTACTTGAAGAAGTTTGTCCAAGTACTTAACGTCAGGCTCTACAACCAAAAGCTCAGGGCTCACAAGGACGTGGCGCCTCTTCAGAAAAGTTACTTCTTCTCCTACTGAACGGATCCAATCAACCGAAACTTTGAATTTGCTTTTCAGGTGCCTCTCTAGGTCCTCCAAGCGTTTCACAGGTCCTGTGCACAGCATGTCGTCGACGTGCACCATGCCTGCCCCGGCTGGCTTTGGAATTCTGAACAAGACAGGCTGTTCGGCAAGCGGCTCTGCCTCAACAGCTGTTTTGATTTCCTGCATGAAATCCCGAAACCAAGTAGCTGACCCGTCTCTCTGCCCCGGCAGCATGCGTAGTAGCCTGAACCACTGGCCATTCACTTTGGTCAGGGTTTCATGCTCTTGCTTGCACTGGAGAAAAGCGTCTGAAACGTCAAGGCT